CAAACCTAGATCCATCCATCTTTAGGGACTGGGCTGTGCACAGAATCTTTCCTGTCTTGAATAGTTCAGCTGGACACAATAGACTGAACTCCTGCCTAGAAGAAGAATTGCTAGCTCTTGGGGTAGAGGATAATAGGAAAGGGAGCCAGCGCGGCAAGCAATCCTGGACTTTTGTGAACGGGCCCAGCACAAAGAAGTGTCTCTCTTCACCAGCTCCCTTTTATGTATTACTAGTTTTCTGGCCTTTTTGCCTCAGCAGCAGACAAAGGAAAAGGCTGACTACAAGAGCTGAGCAGCAGATGGATCTTAGTTAATACTTTAATTGCTCCCTTCTACAAGTATCAGATTCACAAAGGTATGTTACGTCGCCCAGGTCTTTAGAACCTGTTGGATATTATGAGATTTCTAGCCATAAATGGGCAATGTGCCACAGACAGGACAGAATAATGTGAACAGGCGCAATCCCCTCATTACCTGATCCTCAGCAGCAATCACAGAACATATGTTGTGGAAACAATCGCCGATTTCCTCCAGCCCGGCTCTATATTCTTCATGTCGCTATTATTCCCTGTCCTCCTGTGTCATAGATGTCACAGCCTTTAAGTGCACTCCGGCATAGTTTTATTCCATTCCAAATAGGAAATGCAGATTTCGTTTGAAATAATTAAGATTAGAACTTGTTAGTAAAAAAACCCAACAAAACAGCCCATGATGTTTGTAGGACCCTGCTCTGATGAGTGTGTAATACATTTGATTGATTTCCAGGGTGAGAATACCATTTTTTAAAAATGTCTGTTTATCACTAATGAAGGTGTTTAGGGCCCAGGAACACATTACACGTTTTACATTGCTTACTAGCATGTGATTAACCTCTTGTTGTCAATTGCCTCATTTCCAGCACACTCGTCTTAGATCGTTCCAAATGAGGCAACTGTCAAGAAGCACATAATCTCATGGCTGGCAGGCGTTGCGTGCTGCAGATGAGTCGCCAAGTGTCATGATCACTTTATGATCTGAGATTTCCTACGAAAATCAACAAAAATCTTTTTTTATATTCTCACACAATGATGTACTTTTCGCAGGCTGACCTGAAATTACACAGGTTCATATATGACAATGATGCCTCCTAATGATTCTCTGCAGCCGCAGTGTCCCCCCACAGTGTCCTAAAAGGGACACAAGAAGGATGACAGAGGGCACGCAATGTGGCTTATTAAATAATTGCAGTCAATATTACTACACATTTATTTTCTCGTTTCTGCTACAATGACACCATTAACATTGGTATCGTTTCATATATAGGGCAACCTACAACCATTCAAACCGGTTTAAAGTGAATGTAATGTAACTTTGTTACGGTGAAGACAGACGCTGTAAGAGTTTGCAACAAATAAATCGGGATCGGTTTGCAGATAGTTTCAATGCCTTCAGTAGTGTCATCAGCTACAATTGTTTCATTTGAATTATGTTATCATTTCCCAGTTTTTTCTTTCACAGCTCCTATGAAGTGCAGTACATTTGTCTTTCCTCCATCAGGCAAGCATCATTCGGTACAGATGATTCCATGGAGATCTGGTACCCTGTCACCCAAATGACTAACGTTTGCAACTGAGGACCTATTGATGAGTCTTTCAACTGTCCATTGCTATCCATTTTCATTCACAAGTGCTCCCATTTCATCCCCCTCTATAAATAATCACAACTGCCACAGTCACAGACAATGAGCAGCAAAATCAGTTTTTATTTATTTAAGATGGATAGAGGTGACTTGGATTTTAAATCAGACTTGACCATTAAAATACAATTATGGCAAAATAAAAAATCAAGCAGCTTTGAAACAGTGCTATGTTTGTTTTTCTGCATTCCCCTTGTAAAGTAGTTGTATCACCAATATATCCATTATGTTTCTGCTTTCTTTAGCAGGGTGACAACCTTATTTGTTCTGCAGTGAAATTGCACAGCAGGGTTGTCACCCGGGTTTGCTGTGACTAAAAGGTGACTGTTGTAAGCACCCCCGGCAGTGTTATATGATTTGTCCCAACCACTGTAGCTGTCACTTTTGCGGGACTGCTTGGTCTGTTTGTAAATGTGGAAAAACATATAAACAAAAATGTGAAATAATAATAATAATAATAATAGGAATATATGTACTGAATACTATCATTACAGGTATTAACCCCATGCAGTTACCAGAATACAATTGCTATAGTGGTCCCAGAATACAATTGCTATAGTGGTCCTTTAGGTTTCACAACTCAGCCCAGAATAGGTGTGTGAAAATTCACCCTCAAAACTCTGAGAAGAGATATGTTTGTGGTTCTGGATAAGGGGCTGTGGCTGTGTAAACATGTTCCCATTAGTTTTCAGACCCTCCATAATTAACTTTCTGAGGTTTTAGACAGATTCCTCAAGTTAAACATTTGCAAACAATAATCTTGCATTATTATCAGACTGTGACACCAGAATCTAGTTTTAGGCTACATGCACATCACTGTACGAAATGTACTGATCATATACACTTGTTTTTTTTCTGGCCAATAAGTTCCATGGGCAAATGATCAGTTTGTGTTTAGAAGTATAGACATGTATGCTTTTACATTTTAAGGCCTCTGTGTGCTGAAACGTGTTAGCGGGATTGCTATGTTTGGTTTTCTTCTTGAATACATAGAGGAGATTTTCACTGGATCCAGAACCGTGTGCAAACACTTTTTCTTACAGCTATGTGCATGTAGCTTTAACAATACAATATCTCCAGTGACATCACAACATCACCATCACTAGCACAGCATGCTTCAACCAATTCCATAGGCTCCTTTAAATGGGCATTTCAACTGTCAATTTTTCAGGTGGACCTGATCGGAAGCCCGATGTTGGTCTATGTGCAGCTGGATCTGAATGGACATGCGTCCGTTTACATCCAGTTAACCCCAGTCTGGAAAAACATACAGATCAGAGTTGTGTATCAACTGACCTGACTCTGCTGGATTGGGGATAATCTAATGTAAACGGACACATGTCCATTAACATCCGATTCCACATAGACCAACACAGGTCCGGTAATTTTTAGTTTTTCCTCTTGTGACGGAAGGAAAAACTGGACGGAGACAGATGTCACAATGGTTACATCCATTCCGATCAGCAGGGGATCCATGCATGAATCTCCTGCCATTTGGAACTTAAAGGGGAACTATGAGGTGAGTGATTTTCACTCATCCTCATAGTTAGAGCTGATGTGTGACAATGAAACATGTCACACGTCGGCTCTATAGACCAGCAAGTGAGCGAACACATACTGTCGCCAGTTCACTTTCCGATCATCTCCCTGCAGAGAGCCTTGACTGCCAGTCACTGTTTCCTGCAGGGAAGACTGGGTGGATCTCGGCAGTAGTGTCGGGAGCCGTCCCCCATGCAGCACTCTCAGTATATAGCAAGCTGTAGCTAACTATATACTGAGCTTTGGACATATGCTGAGCTACTGAACATATACTAACATCCTTCTGTGACCCTGAATAGAGATATGGGATAAAAAGTTTACCCCACAGTTCTCTTTTAGGGTTCCCATCTGAAAGGGACTTACCTCCTGGTGCATATACGGATGCTCTCTTTAAACATACTGGTGCACTGAGAGGCTGAACTACACAAAGTAGTTACATAGTGAGTCAGGCTGGGAAAAAAAAAGAGTTAAAAAAATATCCTTAGAGCCTAAACCTAGAAATGATCCAGTAGTTCATAAATAGCTAGTTTGAAGAGGCTCAG